TTTGCCTCAAAGCTCTGCTGATACATCATTACATCTGGACTACACGAGCTGACTGACTGAGAAACTGTGGAGTGAAACATTTCCACTGGTTTTCCACTGCTCATCAGTTGGTACTTTTCACCTGCGTTTTCCTCGTTGCCTGCTACTCTGTTTTGCTCTGTTTTTCTTTCCCTGTTTGTAATTACCGGATCCTCAGTTTTGTCCAGTCTCCATGTTTGTGTTCTAGTTCTTTGTTGTTGTTTTTTTTCCCCCCATGATCAGATATCTTAAACTCACATAGTGCAGCCTCGGGCTCTAGTCTGGCTGAAGTGATTGACTCAGACCTGAACCTTCAGAGGCTCATAAAGACAGGAACAAAGTCGGCCTTCTATCACCTAAAGAACATCTCCAGGATTAAAGGACTAATGTTGATAACCTAATTCCTGCTTCATTCATCTTCAGTAGAATGAATCCCTGCTGCGGTGTCTTCACAGGTCGGCCTAAAAAGTGGATCAGACAGCTGCAGCTGATCCAGAAAGCTGCTGCCTGCATCCTCACTAGAACTAACAAGGTGGAGAACATCAGCCCAGTTCTAAAGTCCTTCAGTGTCTCCCTGTATCTCAGAGAAAAGACTTCAAGATCCTTTTGTTAGTCTGGAAATCACAGAATGGCTTAGAAACAAAATACATTACAGACTTGATGCAGTGCATCAACAGCCAGGCCTCTAATGTCTACTGGAAATAGTTTTATGCTCCTCCACCCTGGAATAAACTCAAAAAAATCTGTAAAAACTCTCAGACCCACAGTTGCATTAAATCAAGAAATAAACACCTATTTGTTTAGAGCGGCCTTTGACTGAGCTATGTAAACATTATTAGTGGAGTTTCCCGTTACTAAGTGTTGCCTCCATACCAGAGGACTTTTAACGCTGTCCTGCATATTTTGGTTGTCTCTCCTTCATCACACCTGAATAAACCAGCATTGAAGACAGCTGCTATGCAACTACTATGAACTTCTCTTTTACAGTCACATCTAAAGAACTTTGAATATTTTTGCCTTATTTGTAAAAAGTCTATGCTCCTTCCTGCAGAAATGTGAAACCTATAGGGAAATTGTCATATCATTGGTTTCTACCCCCAGCAAAAATAATTTTTCTTCATAACCAAAACATGGCCACCAATCTGCCGTCCCATGTTTATTTGCACATGTGTGTGTTACAGGTCTTTGTGCGTGCAGCATGTGTTACCTGCCATAGAGGACACGTTGATGATGGTGCCCCCTTCTTTGCCGTACTCTTTGCTCATGTGCTCCAAAGCCAAGTAGGTCCCCTTTATCACCGAGGTCTGCAGATAAAGTTGAAGTTTTAATGCTGTTGAGGGAGCAGGCAGTGAAACAGGAAGTAATAAAAGGTGTTACTTCTGATAAGATATTAAAAACGGTGGTTTTTACAGGAAACCTTAAGCAGGGCTGGCAAAAAAAACATACCCCCCGAAAAAAACCATGTTAGAGTAGCTGTGAGGGTTTGCAACCAGACAAAACGGAAGCACAGACTGAAACATTTCAGATTCTCAACTGTTTCTCAAATTACAGAGAGCATGGAAATGTTATATAAAAGTAATACAATAAAATAGGGGTTTGCATGTAAACAAGTTTTAGATTTACCATCCATTTGGCTGCATTTTCTATTGGTATTTTGCAATATTTGATTTTTCTGTTGTTTCCGGGATTATTAGAAGAGAAGTGGGCATTTTAAAACTGCAGAACAAAACCCAGTTCTCAGAATTTAATTTTAGAGCACAGCCGTCATGCTGCATGCTCTAAAGCCTGCGGGCATTTTCACACCATCGCAGTTCTGCAGGGGCCTCATTTCCCTTATAAAAACATGACTTACTAATTAAACAAACTTAACAATATGTGGAGAAACACGATGAGAAAAGGAAGACAGAATAATCACTGATGATATAATTGTCGATATCTTTATAATAAATTTACATTTTTACAGAATAAAAAAAAAAAAAACAAGATGCCCTTCAAAGATTCCAGAGGGGATGCAAAATTGCACATGCAAATATCTTTTTTTTGGGCAATAAGAGGGTGTGCTGATGGTGATCAACAGCAATTTCTTTTGTAAACAAAGAGAAGCAGAAACCGATTTGTTTTACGCCCTTTAAAACGAGCAGATTGTATGTTCTACTGGCAGTTACAGAGTGACTTTGAAAAAAAGACGAGGAATGATAATGCTAAATATTATTTATAGTTCACTTTGGTATTTCAAAACAACTAAAACAACAAAAGAAAACAATAGTAAAAATAAAATAAAAGGTAGAAATAGGCGAAGTTAAAAGATAAAATATAAAACATCAGAACTATGTAAAAACAATACAGTAAAACTACTGAAAACTATTTTGTTGTTTTTTAAAATGTAAATAAAATATTTTCGCACAACGACTGAAAGATGCTTCACTGTCAATTTAAACAGTTCTTTATTGTCTTATGATTAGATTTTTATTTCACATTAGCTTCTGCTAATTGTGTTAGATCTGGCTAATAAAGTAAACAGTAGATCACAACCGATTTATTGTTGGTCACAACACATCTGCTTGTTCCAGCAGATATCTCATGTATAACGGCTCATGAAAACTTTGAGGCTGTGAGGCAGTGTAACAGCGCCTACATTTACACCAGTCAGATTCAATAGGATAAAAAAGCTCTGCTAATGTTAGCTTTCCAGTGTTTACTCCACAGGTTCCAGTCCAGTCAGACCAAACCGCATCATCAATCATTGACTCTGCCATAGAGTGGTTTAAAAACTATCTCTCAGACAGAACACAATGTATCTACGTGGACGGACTTAAATCTTACTTTTTGGAAGTGACTAAGGGAGTTCCTCAAGGTTCAATTTTGGCACCTGCCCTGTTCACTATTTTTAATAAATGACATTGGAAATAACTTGAAATCTGTTGAATTTCACCTCTATGCTGATGACACCATATTATATTCAATTGCCTCTTCAGTTAACAATGTCTTGAATGATCTTCATTCTGCTTTCCATCAACTTCAGGTCTCCCTAAATCAGCTGAAGTTGGTCCTAAATGTAAAAAAGACAAAATTCATGACATTTTCTAAAGCTCACTCCCAAAACTCACAGCATCACGGCATTAAGACCTTAAGTGGAGAAGCAATTGAGATCGTGTCCTGTTATAAGTACCTGGGTATCTGGATAGACGGCAACTTGTCTTTCACAACACATTTAAATAATATGTTAAAAAAGCTGAGAGCCCTGCTCGG